TTCATCAGCTTCTCTCCAGCATCTGAAGCTGGAGAGTGACACGAGAATGCGGAAGTGATGTAATATACACCACTTCCGCATTCTGACAGCGGAGAGGGGACCGGAGGGAGATCGTGAACCGACCTCCCTCTGATCCCCTGTGACAGAGGCAGTATGTTGGTCCCTGGCTCACACCGGAGCCCGGGACCAGCTTGACAGCGGGAGGGGGGAGCCGCACGTCACGGGACCTCATACAAGCGATCCGGCGGATCGCTTGTATATTAACGGGCATCGCTGCCTGTTTTCAAATGACGGGCATTGTAACAGGACGTGTTACACTACCTTAACTACCTTACGTCCATGGCCGTTTGTGAACGGCCAGATGGAAAAAAGTAACCTCATCCAGCATTTCCCTTTCTCTGGGATTTGCATCTTTATGCTTCCATCCTCTAACAGGCAAGTAAGAGAAAGTGAGGTTAACTTAATTATTATTATTATACAGGATTTATATAGCGCCAACAGTTTGCGCAGCGCTTTACAATATAAGGAAGACATTACAAATCACAATTCAAGACAAGATGGTAAGGAGGGCCCTGCCCCTGAGGGCTTACAATCTAAAAGGGAGGGGGAAGTGATACATGAGGAGGTAGCTGTGTGGGGATGAATTGTTTGAGAAATTGATATTTCGGTGGTTAGGTTGAGGTCGGATAAGCTTCCCTGAAGAGATGAGTCTTAAGGGAACGCCTATAGTCAGAGTAGGACATAGATGGACAGGCTGGGGTAAAGAGTTCCGCAGAATGGGGGAGACTCTAGTGAAGTCCTGGAGGCGAGCATGGGATGAGTTGACAAGGGAGCTAGAGAGCAAGAGGTCTTGGGAGGAGCAGAGGGGACGGTTAGGGTGATACTTAGAAACAAGGTTTGAGATATAGCCAGGGGCAGAGTTGTGGATGGCTTTGTAAGTGGTTGTTAATATTTTGAATTGTATCCTTTGGGCGATTGGAAGCCAGTGCAGGGATTGACAGAGGGGGGTGGCAGACACTGAGCGGTTGGTTAGGTGGATAAGTCTGGCAGCAGCATTCATGATAGATTGAAGAGGGGATAGCCTGTGTAGCGGTAAGCCAATGAGGAGGGAGTTACAATAGTCAAGATGAGAGATAACAAGGGAGTGGATGAGTAATTTTGCGGTTTCATTGGTGAGGAAGGGGTGTATTTTGGAGATGTTACGAAGGTGAAGACGGCAGGATTTGGATAGTGATTGGATGTGGGGAAGCAAGGTGAGGTCCGAGTCAAGGATGACACCCAGCACCCTGGCATGGGGGGAGGGTTGGATGGTTGTGTTATCAATTATGATAGAAAAGTTGGGGGGAAAGGATGAAGGGGGGGAGCCCTCCAGCTTGTGAGCTCACAACAAGCCCAGCCAGGTGGTAAATCAGAGTTGCCAACCGCAACAAAAAACTTTTAGCCCTGAGGCACTGTGCTAGTGCAATCAGAAGTCCAACATCTGCATATGCTAATAAGCGTATATAACCATAATATGTCTGCAGCACTATCAGGTTCTTAACATTACGCTCAATCTCTCCTTGTGAACCATCTTGAACAAAAAGAGTGTGCACCAAAAAATGGCGTAAAATAAACCTCCAGTGCTCATACACACCCCAAAGGAGTCTGTAAAAAGATTTGTTACCGGCCTAGGTTTTGCTTGCTTACACAGAAAGGCTGTTGCCTATGACCCAAAAGGCCTGATTCAAGTACAAAGAAACCCATCCAAGGCTGATAACTCTCTTTCCAACACAAAAAGGAGGTTGCCAAAGAGTGAAATTGGAGAAAAACCCCAATACTCCTGCGTAACACTAACTACATCAGTGTAGGAAGGAGTGATTAGGTTGCTTAATTGTCTAGGGTTGCTGCTTTGCAGATTGAAAATGTGTTTGCCTCCAATCAGCCACACCACTGGTGGAGCAACACATACAAAACCTGTGTTAATAAGAGGCACTACAACCCTCAGCAACCAACACCCCAAAAGAGGATCACCTCCCAGGGTCCCCCCACTGTGCCCTGCCCAAAGTATGGGGGGTAGGAGGAAGGAGACTTCCCTTAAGACTTCCAACCAACCTTTAAGCCATTAGTGTCCGTAAATGACAGCAGAAATCAGGCTGCATGGTGTAGCACTGCTGACCAGAGGAAGCCTGGTGGAACACTTAAATGTTCATGACTGCTTGTGGCTCCGTCCCCTGCCCGCTGCACTCCCTCCCTGGCGTCTGGGATGCTGGCGCCAGGGGTACTCACCACTCCATCGCATAGCTGTCTATTCAAGGAGGCCCAGAATGCTTCTGGATATGAATAGCCACAACATGGCAGCATAAATAGGGAGCATGGATGGCAAACCACGCCATTCAAGGCAATGCAGAGGAGAACTAAATGTGAGTAAGGGAAAGCTCTGCTAGAGCCAATATGCACCCGGGGATGGTTGCTTTCTCTCAAGACGGATAAGAAACCTCAGGGATAGATGGGGAGGGAGGGTCCCATAACAGGATAACCTGGAGGTTAATCCTAGGACAAGCCCAGGCATGCAACCCCTCAGGTCCACTGTCCCCGAATCACGGGGGAGCATACAATAGGAGGCCCCTGCAACTAGTGTGCTGGCCTATGGACAAAATAACAAAACGGTTATGATGCTCCTGTTAGGCCGGATGAAACACAAACTGAGGTGGTGGGGCAGTACCGCGCCCTTTTATTTTAATTGTGGATGATGTGTTTCTCTGAGGTGCTGCCCTGGAAGATGACTTGGGAATATTGAAACCAATCCCGCCAGTTGCATGTGAAGAAATGCACTCATAAGGCAGTGTGTGTTGCATGCTGCCCCCACTCCACTGCGTGCCATATTGTGGTAGTCGGGCAGCAGCACTCTCTTAACATGCAAATGTGTATTAAAGGGCAAGTTCACTTTCCCAAGTAATTTGGGAAAATTGACTTACCAGCTCAAATATGGTGGCCCCCTCTACCACCCGCTATAAAACTTACCGTTCAGCGAACAGTCCTTCCCCTCCACCGGTACGGGTGTACTATCTGTACCCCATACTGCTGTCCAGCACAGCCCTGCACTATGGATTTAGAATTTTGCTCGCAAGTTGTAGGCACTCATTGGTCAGCACAGTCACCTGACCATGCTTACCAATGAGAAACACTTCTTAGCATGGTTAAATACAGTTTTGCATCATGACAAGTAGATTGCCATGAGGGACAAGTAGATTGGGCCCCTGATTTAGTCCTTGGACAAGTAGTTTTTTCAAAACTTTCCAGATCCCTTATGACGGTGTTGTAAGTGTAGGGTCTATTCGTTGATCAGGAATCTCCCTCTACATACACACCAATACTGAGGAACCAGCCCCGGCACCTGTTCTCGCATGCTCCACAGGTCACACTACAGTGACAATGCAAGCATTCCCCTCCATCCACCTAATGCATGTGAAGCCATTCTCTAACACACAACTTTAAGGACAACAAAATCAAACCACCGGCCGAAACACTTCCAAACCAGCAGTTCGCAGCATAGCTACAAAGTGTATCCAGGGGCTTAGCTCTTAGAGTGCTGTAAAGTCACTATTATTGTCAGGCACACAGACCCAGTCCCCCAAAGACGTTTTCTCAGTCTCATTTGCAACCTGGTGATTGGAAATTGTCCAGTCCAGAGTTGTGTTGGATGAGTTGCCCACATTTGTAGAATAGACAATACAGGCATGACACATTTTCTCCTTTTTGATTCTGTAGTCCTCCGAGAGAGTATTGCTAACACGCTGTTGGTTTTACTCAACCACTTGAAGACCAGGTGTTGACATCCCCTTTCTGGCCAGGCCATTTTTCAGTATTCAGCGCTGCAGCACTTTGACATTTATTCAGTCATGCAGCACTGTACTAAAATTCATTTTATACCATATTTTGGGTACACACAGGGGAGAGTTTAATGTAGGGAAAACTTTAAAAAAAATTCTGGACTTTATTATATAGTAAAAAATAAAATCCCCAGTGGGATTAAATGCCACCAAAAGAAAGCTCTAATGGGGGAATTTATAAAAACTGGAGCAGACAGAATGTGGAGCAGTTGTCGGTAGCAACCAATCCACATATCACTTCAGTTTGCTCAGATAAGATTTGAAAATGAGATTGGGAAGCTGATGGGTTGCAGTGCAAATTTGCTCTAGATTTTGTCTGCTCCAGTTTTGATACATTGTTTCCCCATAGGGCTTCTATTGGTGGTATTTAATCACCACTGGGGTTTTAATAAAGTACTGAAAATTTTGAAGAAAAAAAAAAAAAAAGAAGCTTTCCCTACAATTACCCAAAATTTTGATAAAATGTAAAACGGGGGTCAGGTCAGGTAAGTAGACACCAAATCTGTCAAGCTTTAAAATTGCATTGCGAGCGCCCGCGAAATCACAAAAAACTACTATACCCAAAATTGGCCATAGGCAACGCTTTAAAAGCTTTTACCTCTCACCAGTTTAGTGTCATCAGTGATTGATGGCCCTAAAATTATTGGCCTCACTCCGACGTTTACGGTGATATGTAACATGACAGCTGAATGCGGAAGTGGTGTAATATACATTACTTCCTGCATTCAGAGAACGGAGGAGAGATCAGAGGGAGCTGTTTTATGATCTCTGTCTGATCTCCGGTGACAGAGCCTCTGTGCCGATCCTGGGCCCGCACCGGGGCAGAGCGGAGATCGGGATCGGCGGTGGCGTGGCCGCACACACGCACAATACAAGCGTTTGGGCATCTCTACAGATGCCGAAACACTTGTATGTAAAAAACCATCGCTGGCTAAGCAGTTTTCCGGCACGAGCGGGACGGGCAAGGACGTTTAAACACCAGCTCACATTCAAGAAGCTCCTGACCAGCTGTTTAATTACAACAACCGGCCTGGAAGTGGTTAACTTTGTCAATCTTAAAAAAAAATTCATGCAGATACTTTTCTAAAACGGTTAGTTGTAAGAAGAACAACTTGACAATTTACGACATACCTTGCTTGCGGACATCTTCAACAGCATCTATGAGTTCCTGTTTGAGAAACTGACTATCCTTGGCTATCTTGTCTCCTTTTTCCAAGAAGTTTTGAGTTGCCTGTTCAACTGAGGCAGCCAATACATGAGCTTTCTTAGAACGACCTTTCTTTTTGTTTGAAGGCCCCTTGTTGCTGGTGTTTACCAAGGTTGTTACCTATATACAGGAAAGATTAAATAACAGAAAATGTTAAAGTGACACTAAACTCAGGAGTTAAATCTTGAAAATACATTGAAGTACCTTAACAGTTTAAAGAAATACCTAACTTATGAGTTTCACTTGACTGTGGATCCGCAAATCATCTCTGAATTTCTGCAGACACAGTCCTTCCTTCTGAAGGGTGGTTACTTTTGTCACTCATGGTCCCAGTGTGTGTTGTAAAGTAGCCACTGCTTCAAGCTTGCTCTCGTGATGGGACTACAATCTCACATTTAGTTTACCCATTTATATTGAGCTTGTAGTCCATCACAGGAGTGAGCTTGGAGCGGTGACTACTTTAAAAACACTCAGAGACCATGGGGAACAAAAGTAGCCACACTCCAGAAGGAAGAACAGTGTCAGCATAAATTCGGAGATGATTTGAGGATCTACAGCGGAGTGATGCACAAAAAAAAAAAAGTTAGATTTTTGTTAGCATACTTGAAAGCATTTTCAAGATTTAACCCCTGAATTTAGTGATACTTTAAAGCGGACCTTTATCCATAACTTTAAAATAACACACACATACGTCTTTAGAAATGTTTAGTAATGACAATCTACAAACAGATACAGCACTTCTAGATAATTGCAGGCTTTGTATTCTTTGCATACCTTATTTCTGTTTCTTTCCCCAGTCTTCTGACAGTGGCCATGTTTACTAAGGGAAGATTACCAGCTCTCCCATTACTTCCTGGATTTCAGGCACATGTGACAAGGACATGTGACCATGCACAATCTCAGGGGAGGAAAATGCCTTTCCCTGAGATCTCCAGATTACAGATGAGATTTCCCATCAATGCTCAGCTGATGGCAAGGTAATCCCAGGGTGCATTGCTTTGCCAAACTAAAGTTATTTTGCCCTTTCAAAGCAAAAAGTGAATGCTCTGCAAGTGTAACCATTATAAAATCCCAGCATTTGACACCTGACAAGTCTATATTATTAAATCATACACAGAGGGATGCATTGGTAGAATTTTATTTTTTAGTGTAAAGGTCCACTTTAAGTTATAAAAAAAAGAATGCTGAAACTCCATTTAAATTTAGAGGCAAATGCTTTCTCAAAGGCTTCTGATACACTAGCTAATCTCACAACTATTTTAAAGCATAAGAACACATTTCTAACTTTTTTAGGGCAGTAAAGTATAAAAAAGTAAACTTAACCACTTGCGGTCCGCCCGCTGCAAAAAAACGGACGGGCGGCGGACTCACATTGGCGGGTTGCCGTTACTAGACGGCATCTTTTTTTCTGCGCGTGGGCATGGGCAGAAAAAACCCGTCCGATGTAAAGAGCCGTTACCGGCTGTTTCACATATATATGATGGGCGGGTCTACAGCCTGCCGATCGTGTGTATGTGCTGGCTGCGTGACCTCCCTCTCCCCGTCAGCTGGGAGGAGTTATCTGCTGTCAAGTGACCTGATAGGTAGAGGAATGAATACAGGGCGAGTCTAGTATATAGACACGCCTATTTACTGCAGGAGCCCGGGTGGTGCTGATCACCGATCATACTATTGGAGGTGAACGGACAAAAAGTGTGTCTCAGAAAAACACAAATCGATCTCATGAGATGTCTCTGTACACATAATGTTGCAATAAAAACGGCTGTTTACCTGAATCCTATGGGGGGCAGATATAACAGATGTCATGATGCTGTATGGGTAGCGTCATGATGAAGGGATGGTGGGAGTCTCCCTATGACGTAATAAGGCCACAACTTGGCCAAGGTAGACCCAGGTGACATGGGCAATACACCAATGAACGGTGAAACATGATAAAAGCAAAAAATTATAAGAAATGGTGTGAAAACAATGATAATAGCAATAAATTTATATTTATTAAACATCAATAGCACACAAAGCTAATTAGCATCCGAGACATTACAAAACTCAAGGAATTTTGTAAAGGAGGAATAAAAACTCATTGATATGTAGTAAAATGTGATAAAAACCAGTGTGCCTCTAAATAATACAAGGACTGGTGTTGCCGTTAGTGCTAGATGTGAGCGAGTTGTCTGTTTGGAATCCCAGATTCTGGATCCAAGCAACAAACTGGCAACACTGAGTAGCATAAACACCGGGGAAAAGAGTCTGGACTTAACGCACCAGGCTGTCGTGGAGGGGGGTCAGGCTGAGGAGGGGGGGGTTGGAGCAGCGGGATCCAGAGGTGGGTAGCTGGGTTACTGTTAGAAGGCGGGGGAGGGGGAAGAGTGCTAGAGAGGTCAGCCCTG